TAGATCTTTACCCTGAAGCCTATACCCTCATCGACTTCCTCACGGCTTCAGAGCTTCGAGGTTTAGGGGTGTAGGGGTTCAGGGGTTTAGGGGTTTAGGGGTTTAGGGGTTTAGGGATTAGGGTTCAGGGTTTGGGGGTTTGGGGGTTTGGGGGTTTGGGGGTTTGGGGGTTTGGGGGTTTGGGGGTTTGGGGGTTTGGGGGTTTAGGGTGTTTAGGGGTTTAGGGTTTAGGGGTTTCAGGGCCTTTGGGCTTTCGGAGCTCATCCATTAAAACGCCTCCAAGCTTGATATCCCCTGCAGCAGGAGCCCTAGAACCCTAAAGCCAACCCTAAACGCAAAACCCTAAAACAACACCCTCAGTCTTGAAGTCGCAGTCTTAAGAACAACCCTGAACCCTCAACTTAACCAAACACTCCGAAAGCCTGAACCCTAAACCCTAAACTTAACCAAACACTCCGAAAAAAATCCTAAACCCTAAGCCCTAAACTTAACCAAACACACCGAAGCCCTAAGCCCATAGGCTTCTAAAGCTCCTGCCAAGGCTGGTCGCCGCTGGTCACCTCGTCAGCCCGCCGCCCTCCCTGCCAAGCATCGGCAGAGCTCTGGAGGTTCGGGGTTTAGGGTTTAGGGTTTAGGGTTTTCCTTTTCGTGGCGTCTGCGACGGCTTTCTCGCACCACCGTGGGGTTGAAAGTGTTATGATGGTGATGACGATGATGGTCATGACGATGATGATGATTCTTGCTGTTCTTCCTCATTTTCTCTGCACATCTGGTCCATAACCTGTGCATATTAGCTTCTTCCATTCGACACTTGGCTCAAGTTTACCGGAGTTGTTTCGAGCGTGGAACACCGAGGAAGCCCTTTGAGCTAAAGCTTGGGCTGACTCGCAGTTAGGTTCTCCACACGCCTCAGGGCTCAGGTGGCTTGGGGACCATGAGTGCTCCTGAGTGCTGGCTTCACGGCATTCACCTGCCTCCCTCGGCCTCGTGGCCGCGAGCGTTTCCAGGGGACTTTAAAGCCTGCTCGCCGGACTTCCTTACAGAATCTGCAGAGCGAAGGTATCGTTTGGAGAGGCTGCTCCAGCGTGCCGTCACAGGCCAGACACTTACTTCGAAGTCCAGAAGTAGCAGCCGCTGGTATGGGAACTTCAGCGGCCTAAAGAAGCCGTCGGGGAAGTCATCGCTCTGCATGAATAAAGAGGGACTCTTATGGGAGGCCAACAACCACTCGGCCTTGCTGATCCCAACGTTGCTTGCAGATGTCATGTTTGCGCCCGTCGACTCCAAGCTGAGCCCTCCTCTCTTACGAGCACCGGAGGCCACGCACATCATTTTGATTGCTCCCCGTGCTACCGGTGGAGGAAGGCCAGTTGTTTGGCTGCTTTGTACGATCGCCGACGACTGTTCCCTGGATCACCTCATCATGCGTCTTAGCATGCGGGGAGCTGTTCGATGGGACTTTCGACAGTGCCTGCATCTTGCAGGAGATAGTTTCGGCCAGGGATCCCACGGGACGATTTTTGCAGGCATGTCGCTGCTCCCTTTGCATGAAGAGCACCGCAAGCTGATCCCTGCGAAAGCGGATGTGCTGAATATGAGCAAGGTCCACAACTTCGCACGGGTGGCCGTCAAGATTTGGGACAAGCTAGACTCGGCGATGGTTCGTCGGGAGGTGGGCTTCCTGCAACAGTCGGCGGGTCATCCAAACATCTCAGCCTTGTTGGGTGTTTACGCAGAGGTGCAGACGAAGTCCAGCGTGACATGGCTCCTTGCGATGGAGCACTGCACCGGCAGTGATCTCTTCAACACCATTAAGGCCAAGTGTTTGCCTTTGGGCTACATTCTGGAAATTCAAGCCGGCTTGTCATCAGCGTTGGCACACCTGCACTGCTTGAACATCGTCCACCGAGATGTTAAAGCCGAGAACGTGGTCATGCAGAAGGATCGTGCCGTTCTCATTGACTTTGGCATTGCGGCGTACCGAAACTAGGGGCCGTTTGGGACAATTCTTACTTTCCCTGATGTCGGAGCCTAAACTAAAAAAGTAATAGTAGTGGTCTTAGTCACAGTCAGAGTCAAAGTCACGATCATTGTCATAGTCATGGTCATAGTCGTAGTCACAGTTTTAATAGTAGTAGTAATGGTCACAGTACTAGTATTATTCATGGCAGCATCACAGGCTTAGGGTTTAGAGTTTAGGGTACCCTAAACCCTAAACGCTAAACGCATCCATTCCTAAGGCAACGACAAGGAGGCCATGTGCGCAGCCATCGGATCGCCCGGCTACGCGGCGCCGGAGATCATCTCTCCAAAAGAGGGCGGCTACCGGGTTCTTGTTAAGGAACCTAGAGTTTTGGGTTTAGGGTTTAGGGTTCTAAGGCGTTCTTGCTCAGGCATGTAGGGTTTAGGGTTCTGTTCATGTGAACGAGTTCAGTGACAGCAATGATTTACCATAGATCCCTAGTCTGGCAACTTAAATGAAGTGCCCGAACCCCCAAAACCCAGGCTACGACGAGCTGGTGGACGTCTTCGCCCTAGGAGTTCTGAGCTACTTCATGATGTTTCGGGCTTTGCCCTTTTGGGGGAAGACCCAAGATGAGACGCTGGAGAAGACACGGCTCTGTGAGGCAGAGATTCCCGAGTTGCCGGGCTCTTGTGAAGGAACTTGTATCTACTAACTAAGCCCTAAACCGTAAACCCTA